GTCGCTATGCTGAGTTTCTTGACAACGATGAGTAATCAAAAAAATGGCCCAATAAAATACATCATTTAAGCACCAAATTTTCTCTCCAGTGTAAACAACGAGACTGGACAAAAATGCGATAATGTATCAATTAACTTTGGGCTTGTTTTCCCGTTGATTGGTTTACTAACCGTCCTTTTACATGACTAAAGTCATCTGTCCTCAGTCTCCTACCAATTACTCATACTCTTCTAGATTAATGCGAATTTTGCGGATGGACTTTAGTAGAGGTTTAGGATTCAAATGATGTTTAGTGACAGGACAAAGGTTAGGTTATGCTGTCGATTTACGATTTTTTAGTCATATTTTTATAATTTCGCATGTGTCTAAGAGTGGGGACCGGCATAGGTATGTAATGTTTTTAGTTTTTTTAATGCTGTTCAGGCTATTCACGATTTTTGGTGTTTTTAGAAAAAAAACATGTTTTTAGAAGAAGAGCTAATAATATACGGAAAATCTCACCAAGAGTTGCTAATTGTGCTGATTCCGTGTCGTCAGTCAACTCTCGGGTTACTTGCATGGTAAGCGCATCGTAGCAGGTGAGGTCATTCTGGCGGGAAAGGAAGCAAACTTAACTATCTGCCATATAAACCATAGGAACCGATTTCAACAAAGAAACAAACAGAAACCGGACAATTCACGACACAGCTGTACAAACCTTACCGGACACTCATGGAAAGCCCCAACACCAGACTAAAAAAGATATTGGTAGAAAGCGTGAGAAAAAAGAAGTTGAATTTTAGGGGAACCCTAAGAAGCATTGTTACTGCGCGTTCGGGAGGTAGTTAAGACCCAGAAACTCGGAAATCATTCAAGGAAAATTCTCCCACGATCCACGAAGACTGGTCCAGGGGGCGCTATCTACTATCCGATATAAGCACTACCAGACTGTCGTTATGAGGTCGAACTACCAGAACCCCGGGATGGATTCCCCCTCTTCAAACGCGGACCCAATCTCAGGACCTAGAGATTTCTGGAAATGAGATGTCACCGCACTGTTGACCCCACACGCGCTTTTTTATCGTGTGAAGTTTCAAAATAACGGCAATTATGCATTTTGCCAAGAGCAGGTTTTCCACTTTCGTTTGTATGTTAACTATGCTGATAATATGTTTGTTGGTCATACTCCCAAAAGTCAGACACATCTCTAGGTTCTGAAAGGTGGCCTAGACAACGTCTCAGTATGGGTATTAGCCAGTGGTCTTCTACTGTATAATTAAAAATCAGTCCAGTGCGTTTTTCGACTGCGACCCTCTTCCAGTCCTGTCATTCTGTCCAATGAAGTATCCTCTTTCCGGTACGTTGGTGCAAATTTGACATATAATCTTCCAGTCACTCTCCATATTGAAACCCTCTTCATAACAATTCGTATACTCCTATATTATATTTTTCAGTTACTTTCCAATCACACCTCAAGCCCCGATCTGACGATTTATAAATGCCTGTATTTTCATTCTCATTCTCTACTGCTTCACGGTTATTGTTCCAGCGCTGCAAAAAAGAATTGTTGATTTATAAACGTATCCTCCGAATGCGCTTTTCGATTGCCAATATATCTTATGCTTTGTTCTCTGATGCTACAATACAGCGACAATTTAAAAAGGTCAAGCACTTCGCTGCTCGAGTTTCTGATGAGGTTGCTCATCCCTTCCAATCTGAATTAATGGCTGCGAAATATTGCCGTACTATACGTCAAAGCTTTCGACATGTGCTGTTGGACATCGGCATAGCAACACTCTGCTCTGCTATTCCTAGCACATTTATCTTACTTGCAAAGAATCGGAAATCCAAAGGCTGAGATTGGACCTGTCTCCATAACAAATGTTTGTTTTATGTAAATCTCTATATATTTGAATATTTTGTTTATATATACTGTGGCCTCAGTGAATAGAGCCATTTACTGCTGAAAATTGTGGATGCTACCTTGAAAATAAAGCTTATTCCCCCCTCCCTCTCATATACCTTCGATATCATACCGGAGGTATAAGGAGACATTGGGTAAGCAGCGCGGATGCTTGAATGCAAGTTTTCGATGCGATTATTGCTTTATTATTCGCCTCCGCAGACTGTATGCTCAAAGTTCTCAAGTCGTGTTCATGCCCATTTTTCATACCCAAAAGTAGTCATTTTTGGCGCCGCCAAAGGGCGGGAAGTCGCGCTACACGGCGATGATCCAGCGTGCACTCGGCACGAGTAGACGGGTCGCCATGCCCAGTGATCTGTTTAACACACGTCCATCGTTGCCTATTTTGACAAATTCTTGTCACTGCAATATAGTGGATCTGAGAACTGGGAGTGAATAGGGAGCTTTGCAAGTCGTCCGCACGAAATCCATATATTGCTATTGCACCTCCGGGACAGGGGTGTTTTTGGCAATTTTGACGGACAGACTCCCACTAATGTAATCTACAGCTATTTTTTATTCAACTTATAAAGGCAATAGTTTTCTCTATGACTTAAGTCATATTTCGGGAAGATCGCTAAGGGGGTTATAAAAAAGGCTTCCATCAATTAGGCTTTGCAACAAAAAGACGCTCATGTGTACACAAATCGTGTCAATGGCATCGTTGAGTTATCTTGCAACATTTTATAAGTAAGTTATGCCTAGGCATCTAGTTACAATGTATGTGGCGATCTACATCTAAAGAAATATTATATGAGTTGAATTTCAGGGATTGCAAATATTGATTAATTGTGGGAACTTCAAAAGGGTCTACGGTCGAAAATCCAAAAATCAATAAAGACTACTGAGAAAAGAGAAGTCATGATGGGGGGAGGGAAAGGCTATCAAAAAACATCAATAGATACGCAGGATTTAAGTACTTAAGAATGTAACAGACATTAGTTATGATTCCTCAAAAATAATGCGTATTAAATTGAAAATACAAACATTGCTACCAGACTTTCAGTTGACTTAATTGTGAAA